GAGGTTTAGTCCGATGCTCATATAAAGGAAAAAAAGAAGACAGCCGAGGCCAGGCACCCCCGAGGAAAGGCGGTCTGCAGGCTTGCAGTTGCAGGCCTTGGCGCTGGCGTTGAGGGTGCTGGGTTCAGGGTTTAGGGTTTTGGATTCAGGGCTTAGAATTTAGGGTTTGGAGTCTTAGGGGGAAATGAATCGCTTCGTGCGGTCCTGCACGACTGTAAGGGGAACCTAAACTGTAAACCCGAATCTCTTTCTGAGGATGGACTCGTGCTCCAGGTTCTGCATCTTATCCTCAGAAACCACACCCAACCTGAAAACCCTGAACCGTTCAGAGCCGGGCGCTTCATGGTTTCGGGGTTCTAGAGCCTTTATGCATGGATCCCTCCTCCTGGAATCCCTACTGGAACGGTGTCTCTTCAGTCAGGGGGCCTGGACCCGTATAGAACTACACTGTATGTATCCCCCCAAGACCCCGTCTTCATTACAAAAGCCCCCATATCTGAGCTTTCGGTGTCCCATGTGGCCGCTTCGGGTTCACCTCTGGGGCTGCAGGCCGTGCCGAAGTCCGTGAGGACAATCTTGCACTGGCCGTCGGTCATGTTCTGGCCAGGGCGCTCTTGGAGGTCTTCGCCAGTGCGTAGCGAAGTAGAACTATACGAAGGCTACTTTAGGCGTCCAGGTTTCTGTTAAGGGTTACGACACACACGGGGTTTCGCCAGGAGAAAGACTCTCCAGCTTTGCAGGCATACGGACACCCATTCAAACGCTACAACCCAAGCCTTACGCCTGAAGCCCGAGGCCGCTGCAGAAGAGCTGGAGTAATTTCTGTTTCGGTCACGAGGCCAACCAGGCGGAACGCTCTGAATGCGGATCATGCCCTAAACCCTAAACCCTAATGCCTGTTTTTGAAAGCCTGGTATTTTGGGCGAGGGGGAGCTTGTGATTTGGTTTATGCGCCAGTGCAGGCGCAAGCTGGTGATATCAGCCTCGTTTATAGGGTTTAGGGCTTGGGGTTTGGGGTTTAGGGTTTAGGGTTTGGGGTTTAGGGTGCCTCATTCAAGGATCAGAGTTCAGAG